GGGGGGGGGCCGGCCCCGGGGCCCCTTGGGAGGAAAAGTGGGTTCCCCCCAACCCGCCGGAAGGCCCTCGAATCCCGGTTGCCCTGGCAGCACCAAAAGTCGCCGAAGGGTGTCGACCAGCCAGAGTGCCTCCAGCTCTGCGGCTTGCGCTTTGAGACGCCGGTGCCGAGCGGCATGAAGTAGAGCATCGCTCCCGGCTCGCTGCCGCGCTGCGTGCCGAGGACGCCGTTGAGCAAGGCGCGCTCGATGAAGTCGGCGTACGCGAGTGCGCCGCCGCTCGCCCTCAGCAGCATGCCGACCAGCCGGACCATGTTGTGCGTGGTGCAGCTCTCGGCGTGCTCGTGCCGCGCCCCGCCGTGCGCCAGCGTGTGGCCGAGCTGGCCGGGAGCCTCCCACAGCTCGTTGTGCGTGGAGCCTCCCGTGGCGTACGAGCGCTTGCTCACGACCAAATCGACGAAGCGCTGCGTGAGGGCGGTGAAGTGCGCCTCGCCAGTCACCTCAAACCGCCGCTGAGCGCCGAGCATCAGAGCGAGGGCCGTGTTGCCTGTGAATTCACAGGCAACTCGCAAAGTGACACTCCGTGCAATTGTGAGTGAGAAAGTCCGTGCAATCGTGACTCACCGTGCATGCCTGTGAGCGCGTCCTGTCCGGCGGCGAGAGGTCCGAGCAGGCACGGCTTGTCGAAGAGGGAGGCGGTGGCGCGGTGCTCCGCCTTGCCGGTGAGGGAGGCGAGGTGCCACAGCGCCTGAGGGGGGGGCTCAGAGGTAAACGACGCCCTCGCGCAGCCATGCCGGTTGCGACATCTGAGAGAGCCTCGTTGATGCCGCCGCACTCTTGGTTGAGCGTCTTGAACTGGTGCGCCAGTCCCTTCTCTGCCGCGAGTCGGCGCACCCGCTTGCCAATGTATTCGCCGAGCGCCTCGGCGATCTCCAGCGCCTTGTGGCTGCCAGCGAGGGAGTACTGCTGCAGCAGCCCTGCGAGCAACTTGTGGAGAGTGTAGTAGGGCGCCCAGACGGGCGTGATCGCCTCGAGTCGGTCGAGGAATGAGGGCGGGAAGGCGGAGAGGTAGCCGCTGCCGTGGGCGGCGGCGAGCTTGCCCAGCTCCTCAACGACCTATGTGGCGGGCGGCACTTGCTTCACAGCGCGCGGCTGTGGAGGAGCAGCCCAGAATCTCCGCCACCTCAGTCATCCGGTGGCGCAGCTCGGCGTCGCGAGTGGCGGCGAAGGCCATCGCCGAGGCCGAGAGCCAGTGCCCAAGGAAGTGGCCGCGCAGCTCGGAGCCGGTGTGCTCCCACCTGTTCGTCAATCAGTGGCCTTGTTGATGAGCATCTCTCATCAGCGCCGCTCGGAGCCGGTGTGCTCCCACCTGTTCGTCAATCAGTGGCCTTGTTGACGAGCATCTCTCATCAGCGCAGCTCGGAGCCGGTGTGCTCCCACCTGTTCGTCAATCAGTGGCCTTGTTGATGAGCATCTCTCATCAGCGCCGCTCGGAGCCGGTGTGCTCCCCACCCCATCAGGCGGAGCGAGCCGGGCGACCACTTGCCTCCCTGCGCGGTCAGCCGCCACGCGAGCAGCAGAGAGTCGGTCGAGAGCAACTTGAGGTATGCGAGGTTCGTCTCGAAGGCGGCGTGGAAGGCGCTGCCAGCGAGCAGGCGCACGTCCGAAAGCGGGATCGCGTCTACCGCCAGCAAAGGCGGGCGCGGCGTCGACTCGAACGGCGCCTCAAAGGCGGGCAGACTGACGTCGTGTGACTTGTGCCTCTTGGCGTCGTAGCCCGGACCGCTGAAGATGGGGCACGAGACGGAGTGCGTTGACAGGTTGGAGATGGGCGCTGTTGGAACTTGCACGCGAAGGATGGAGACGCTCGTCGGCCAGTCGGCTCGTCGCGACGCGCCGTTGGAGGCTTGGTGCCTCCATGCTCCGTCGGCTGCCCTCACCGTGCCTAGCGACTGGTCTCTGATGGCGAACCATGAGCAGTACTGAGTGACCATGAGCAGCGCGATCGCAGCCTGAAGTGAGCAGATCACAAAGGGCCAGCGACGGTCAACCATTCTGCTTCAAGGCGTGGCACCCGTCAAACCCGATTGAAAAGCCTCCCCCCCCAGGCTGGGAGGGTATCGGTGAAAACCGGTTGCTCTGAAATCCCTTTGTTTTTAAG